AGAAGAAAGAAAAATCTGTCTTTGTTTTTTCCTCTATATTTTATTTTTATGAAAAAGAATCAAATTTGAATTAACTAGATAGAAGATATCTATCTAGATTATTTATTAGTTGTTTAGAAAAGGATTCATTTTTTAATGACATGCTTCCGTTGTCTTCTTTTCGCTGGTAAATTATCATGACAGTTATAGAGAATATTAATTTAACTCTATATGGCTGAATAATAATGAGTTTGTCTTTCTTTGTTTCTTTTATAGGGCGGTACTTCTATAATCGATTATACAAATTCAACTTGACAGAAAGCAAACATCATGCGTGCATACTTATTGAATATGAATTATCAATGTTCCTATGTGAATTTCGATTTATTTTTTTGTGTCTCTAAGCAAAACTAATGTTAAAAATTGAGAAAGAGTGATCACTAAATGTTCCCAAGTGTCGTTTTTTCAACTTTGTTATGTGTGTTAATGAACATTAAGATGTTACATGCTATTAAATGATCTGAAACTAAAAATAAAGTTAAAACAGATTGCGTTAGTATTCATATTCGGAGACTGAAACAGACAAAGATAGTAGTCAAATTTAAACTCATATACTAGCTTTGATAACTATTAAAACTTATATGAATCTCACTTAGATGTTAAACAAATCTTGTATGAAGATGCATAGAACTATAGCGAAGTATTCATAGAGCAGGTTTACCCTTTAAAAATTTGGCTTTTTGTTTGGTTTAACACTGAACATAACAACATGCATGAATTCCGGAAATACGTATTATCATTCACTTTCCAAAACTTTTTACTTTCTCTCTTCTTTTTTCTTCCATTATTCTTGAGCAAATGAGTCTCTATTTATTTCGAGCACAAGGCTGTTGCATATCTTTCACATGAGCAAAAATACAGTTTAACCTATTTACAGGGTTCTATGGAAATTGGGCAATTAGAATTTGGGCACCAGAATTTTGACATTCTCCAAATTCCATTATAATTTCGACAAATTTCGAAAAAACAATGGAATTTGGACAATACTGTCGAATTTCCAAAGTTATGGATATTCTTGCAGAATTACGACAATATAAATTATTGCTGGATATTTGTCATGTCCAAACTGTGTTGGAAATTGGACATGAAAATATCCAGCAATAATTTATATTGTCGTAATTCTGCAAGAATTTCGATAACTTTGGAAATTCGACAGTATTGTCCAAATTCCATTGTTCTTTCGAAATTTGTCGAAATTATAATGGAATTTGGAGAATGTCAAAATTCTGGTGCCCAAATTCTAATTGCCCAATTTCCGCTTTACCATTTACAGTTGCTTTTTTCTACACGTTCGTTAAAGATTAGTTGGAAGTAGTACTTAGAAAAACATTCAAAGACGAATGAGTATAAATAAAGGACTGTTTAACAGTTCCCCTAGTAAATGGACTTGGGTTAAGTAATGAGGACAGTACTTGTGGACTAAATTTACTTAACAAGTAAAACGTAAGTACTTGAATAACACAATGCAATTAAATTTACTTGAAAAAATTCAGCCAAATACTTGTTCCATTTATTTTTAGTTTATATTTTATACATATTCTGAAGCTATACTGTATTTTTGTAGAACACATGCATGCATGGCTACCAGGATGATTTAACTCAGTAGAAATAAATATATAAGTTCATTTTATAAGTATATAACGATTCCCATGTCATCAGAACCGCTAAAATACCGCCGATTACCGCAGCGGTCACCACCGAGTATAATGGAAGGTTAACCTAATGGACATGTGAAATTACCGCACGGTCTACCGAACCTCGCGATACCGGTCGGTTGTATCGGCGGTATCAACCGGTATTTTGTCAGCGTGAGCAAACAGTACAGGAGTTCGAATCTAGTTCTCAGTTTACTTCTTTTTGCAGTGCGCATGCAGCGCAATGAGGTTTCCGAACGGGAAAAACTCGACTCAAGTCAAAGTGCAAATTTCGACGAGTCTCTATAACCTGAAAAAGAAAGCTTAATCTGAAAAAAAATCAAAATTTTTTGACTTTTCTGCGTTTCTTATATAGACTGACAACCGCAAAACAAAAAGGTGATTGTGTCAAAACGGTTTACCAACGGTGTTTTCTTGTACCACGGTCTGAAAACTATCGTGCGGTAACCGTCGGTAGAAGAAAAACCGTCGCTAAACTGGTTGGTATACCGAACGGTACGGTTAACCAGCGGTAATCTATAGACCGGTCGGTAACCGGCGGTATTACGAAAAAAAGTGCGACATGGGTTGATATTGTGATGTTTATATACCAGTGACCAATGCAAAACAAAAGGATGACTGACTTGTCCAAGTAATTTGCTGAATCAAGTAACGGTACTTGGTAAATTCTTGCCAAGTGCTTAACTTGTCACGTACTTCTCAAGTACTCATCAAATAATCAAGTACTTGCACCAAGTACAGCCTCTAAAGGATCGTCTATGATATTTTTTGATTCTCTCCATAACTTCTGCATAAAATGTTACTGATATTAGTCAAAATTTGAGTTTGTTAGCCTAAATCATTACTGACATATAGCCGAAACCAATTTCACAGAGAGACGTATTACCTGTCAAAACTGTGACTATTGTCTATTTGCTGTTTTTGTAAACAAAGCCTTGACCTATTGACTATAAAGCTGTTTCTATATATATCATATAGCCCTTTATTTTGTCCTAAATGATCTGTTTTACTTTTGGCTACTGAAAAGTTGTAATATTTCAACTCAGAATAAAATTGCATAAAATTAGAAATTTTTGAAGATAAAAGTTTTTTAGAGCTGAAGTAAATAAATCGTTAATAAATAACACTATGCATAATTATTGAGTTTTTAGCTCGAGGGAGTGTCAGTATGTCCGAGAAAAAATTATGGGTGTATTTAATTTAAAAAACAAAATATCTTTACATTTTATATATAGGCTAGCGAAATCAAATTTAAACCGTAACCGACTCCTAACACATATCCCATAGCTAGGAAATAGCAGCGCTCAAAATCAAACTGCTTAAAATTAAATTGTTTTATTTGATTCATAATGCTTTTTCTGGTTTCAGCAACTTGCGCTATAAACCATTAAAATCAATTAAAGGCTAGAAAGACGCAGGTACTGGAAGTAGGCAATCAAGATTGTTCACCAACTGCTTTTCTCGAGAACGATACTGTTGAAAAACTTCTTATTTTTGGAAGAGGGTGTAATGGTCTAAATGTATACCTTCTTCTGTTTTAACAAAAAGAAATATTATAAAAAAATATCAAAACCAGATTTTTTGGAGTGTTTCATCTCAACTGTTTCGACGGGTTCACTGATGCCTCAAACAAAGTTATCACATAGTGGGGTATTTTCACTAGGCACGTGGACATTAGGTTTAAACAAGTTCATGAAACTCAAAAAACTCTTCTTATTGGCTTTCTAATGTGCTCTTTCCAATGGAACACTTTTCAGAGCTGAAAAACTCGTCAAATTGTTTTTTCTAGAAATCCCAGAGTTTCCAGAAACCCTTTAACCCTTTAACCAAAACGGTTTAAAAAGTGCATATTTCCTCGAGGAAATAATTGTTCATAGGTTTTCGAGTATCCCAATTTCAAATCTAATAACAGAAAATGCTTTCAGAACGTTCCAGAAGATTTTCCAGAGAGATGGGTTTCTGGAAAATCCTTTTGTTCGGAAAATACAAGATAACTCCTTTTATAGGTTATTTCACATGCCGATTTCAATAAGACTGAGTAAAACCTCGCCACTATTCTGCTTAGGGCTCACCTCCCTCCTGGGCTCTTTTTTTGTTTTGTATTACCCATCGAAAAAAATAATCAAAATTCATGCAGGATCCCGCGAGACTTTGCGTAGGATCCCAGTTGTCGGTATTAAAATATCTGGGGATGTTTCTTACCTTTACACAGGATTTTTATTCTGCCAGCCATGACGGAATCCTACATAATTTATGTAGGATTAGGTAAGAAACATGGTAAGACTTTTTAACTTATTCAATTTGTATAGTTATAATCTAAAAACTTCGATAAAAACATTGAGAACTTGAAGTTAATATATTAAGGTATATGTTTTTCAGAAGTTTACTGAACACGAGAAAAGCTTTTATAATTTTAGAAGAAAAAGATGCAAAAGTTCTTAACTTTCCAAAAATAAAAGTACAGACAATACCTCGATTTTCCACTTAGTTTCCGTTTTTTTCACTCCAGAAACATTTTTATTTGAAAAATAAGGTTGGATTTGGAATCAGCGCAAAAACTGCATCGAATGTTGTGTCTTTCAATACTATTGGAGTAGAAAATTTGTAACCGTCGTGGTGCTGATCGCGGTGCTTAAAACGCTCTAAAAAAACTAATGTTTCAGAGCATTTTTCGTGCACTACCGGCTACAATGACGTTAAACTACGGGAAAAATTATGTTAACAACACTTGCAAAAAACCGCTGAAGCAGTAGGATCCTCAAGGATTCTTTTCTAAGTAAACCATGCAGAAGCTTTTACATGCGTTTCTCGGGTATATCTCGCAGATTCTTCACTTTACATGCCCTGCGGAATTTTTTCCTCCCTGTTATCACTTGTAATACACAAGATATCTCACTACGCGAACCCTGCAGGGTCTGTATGATTTTATCTCGGAGAAAAGAATATCATAGCTCAATGTCTTCCGCTTTGTGCACGACAAGATCCTTTTTTATAGTACCAAGATTTTCGAGCTAAATTTTAGACATACGTTATCTCACTAACTGTGACACTTAGAAAAAACTTCTAATGGCAGAAAGATCGAGCATTTGCCGAAAATCTTGCTAAAGTGCATTTTTGTTTTTTTGCCTAATGGTCACGTTGTTCCCCACTGTGTATCACCCAAAATACTCAAATATAACATTTCCTCTCACTTGCACACACAATCAGTAAAATCATATTATTAATTTTTTAGTGAAAATAATGGCGCGAGAAAATGAAACTGTATGCTAAACATTAACATAATCAAATAAAAGTAAAAATATAAAATTATTTTTTACGCAGATATACTTCATCAGCCAGTTGATTATCCTTATTATGAAAGTACATAAAATGTAAATCAGTTCTATTGACAATAAATTGTGTATAGCCAAATTCTTGATCATGATATTGACTCCATGTAGCATTTGAATATTGACCATCATCTAAATTCTGACCTGCCATTCCAATAAGTAAATGTACAGTACCATTTGGATTACATTCATTTCGATACATTTGGCATGAACGTTCATAACTGTGTTTATGTGCAAAAATGTTTATGTCAACCTGATATTTATAGAGCAATGGTTCTAAGTACAACTGCAACATTAATTTAATAAGATCAGCTTCGTCCGTTTCACTTGCGTACATTGGACGATGACTAGCAGTAATTATCCATGGTGTTACTGCTCGGTCAACCGATCGTAAATCATTTTCAATCCACAAATATTGATCGGATGCACGAGTAAAATTGTGTTCAGTCGAAAACATGAGAATGTGTACGGAACCCAAATTAAAACTGTACCAAAACGGACCATTTCCATTATCAGGCATAGAGAATCGATGAACAATAGGCACAGCGCACTCGCCTCCTGAATCATATCCATAATCACCCCTAAAAAATATCCGTTGTACAACTACTGTGTACATTCTAAGATTACATACTTACCATTTTGGTCGAAAACCACCATCTCCCGGTGCATGACTGGGATCCTTCTGTCCACCTTGTACATGATCATATTCATGATTACCCACTCCCAACATGTACGGCACCGTTTGAGCTATTGGCTGTATTTCAGTCATGAATCTATCCCATAGAGCTCCGATTCCTCTCGCATAACTCACGTCACCAATATGTAAAACCACCGCAATATTTTCACCTTGCAAAACTCTTTCATGAACACGATCCATTGTTCCTGCTGCACCTGTTTGTACAGGACTCACCCCCATATCACCATAGGCAATAAAACTGAGTGTATCAGATGCCCCATCAACTACTTTCGATATAAAATGAATTACTGGTGACCATCCTTCAACTTCATTACCAACACGATAAAAATAAATTGTGGCCGGCATCAAATTCTTTAAAAGAATTGTGTGAATATAACCGGGATCAATGAAATTTTGTGGACCAGTAATATTTGCTTTTCCTTCACACATGTCTGATGCAGAATAAGTATCTGTTGTACCTGTTTGATTAAACTGGAGTTGAGATGGATCTAAACCATACTGAATTTCTGGTGTATAAATATTAGAAGATGTTGTATACATGACAATCATTTCATCATCATTGGACGTGTAGGAGAGATGTATTCCCGTTGGTTCATTATAATTAATTGGATGAATTATTGGACTTCCAGCTTTATATGTGTAATTTCCTGTACAATTTTGGCGTTGATAGTAGCGAAATTCTAAAATTCGTCGTAAATTAATCATTTCCCAATATTGGTTACCTTCTACTTCTGTCGTATTGCCAATAAATTCATAATCTAAATAGCTACACGTCAAATTAACAGATATTTCGGGAAAAAAGACGGCTATGAAATCATCAGCACATGGTGGTGTAGACGTTGTAGATGTCCAAGTCACATTGATTATGTCATATGCATTGTAAGCTGTGGAAGATACTTCGAGGATAATGGCATTTGAACTATCACTTACACCTGTACCACGTTGACAACTGTACGGACTAGGCATATCGTGAAGTTGGGAATGAACTTTACCAAATGGACCATTGGCATTTAAATGATTATCATCACACTCAATCAGACAGGATAACAAGGAAATAATTATGAGAACTAAAGACAAGCAAGTAAAGTCAAAATTGGCAGGATATTATTAGATCATATTCAAGAGAAGTTGTCTTAAAAAAATACTGTCTCAAGTGTTTTTAACATTATATAATAAAAGGGTTTGAAGTAAGAAATATAACATGTTTTCTAGTCTGCTTCTATTGTAAAACTACAAGTTCTTTAAAAAAAAACACATGACTTACTCGTGAATTTTATTTGAGTGCGCGTTGAAATTGACATTATTACATAACAATCTTTTGTCGCAGAGTAGTTTAATGTATTAACTGTCTTTTATTTATGAGTTTCATCTACATAAACACAAAACCTTGATAAAATGATAAGAGTCACAAGAAAGAAAATGAAAGCTGAGCCTTTCATATTTATAATGCTTTAGGGATAGATAAAGAGCAAAATGGTGCAATTTCCAAAATCAGATCAATAGTTCTAAATAGTTATTTGTACGGCTACTTCCTATTGATCTTATAAAAAAAACGGCAATAAAGAAATACGTTGCTCAGGATCTCTGTAACTAATTCTGTGAAAAGAACTGTAACTATTCCTACTCATGTGCAACTCGTCGTGTACGATCCTAGAAGATATAATGTTTTCTCGTAAAATTCTATCATGAGATCTTATAGTGTGATCTGATCAATCAAGACTATATTTCGAGAAGTCAAGACCTTGGACAGCTAGCTTAAAGACTAGCTTTAAAGGTAATTTCTCAGAACTATGCAATTTTGGAGGCAAATGTCACTTTGTCTTTGAATATATTGCAGCCGTTTCACTGTTGTGTCGCAGCTACAAGAACAACTACCTTCATACATTGTTAGTTGTATCAGCTGTTACACATGATTGCATTAAACAAAGCTTGAAAATTATCTCAGCGTTATGATACTAAAACTATGAGCACGCTGCAGATAATCCTCAGTTCCTTTTCTGAACATTATAAATAATTTCTTTGATATCTTTTACTAAAAATATTATTAAAAAGTTTTTAATGTATAGACAGACTTTAAGAGCCAGCTGTTATGCTTAGTTTTGTTCTACGTACTTCAAATAAGCAACGTTTTTCATCTCCGTTCTTTTATTCTGCACCTGAGGTAGATTACATCTATGGTTGAGTCACAGAAAGAGAAAAAAAAACACGTTTGACACACGTACGTATGTTGCTGTTTATTCACATAGTGAGTGAATCAGAAATAAAACAGAAAGAAAAATAGTAGTTCTTTTGGCAATGGCCCATTAAGAGCAATTTTATTGGTTTTCCGATAAAATTAATCATACTAAGTTGAGAAAGCAATTTATTTTTCAAAACAATATAGTGTTCAAGGATAAGCTCATTTAATTTCACCAAATAGCAAATAACGAACCATGCAAGAGTAATTTGTTGATGACACTTTTATTTTTTATGCTATTTTTCAAGACCTGTGACTGTTGATATTGTTTCCAGAAGTAAGAACTTTAATGGAAAATAGTTTATCGACTATAGAAATAAGCATTCGAAAATGTTATTCACGCTTGACAGTATTCAGATGTCAATCAATGAAAACCCATTATATGTTGAAGAAACAGATCCCACGTTCGTTCCATATCGCAAAGTAAATTATTTTTCTGTCTGTACCAATAATAACACATTTTAAAACTTGGTTCATTATAAAAAAAACAGATATTATGGACAAACCATATACACTACTAGCTAATTCTGAAACTAGTTCGCTTGATTCAAAATGATCTCAATTACTCATCGTCAGCTGTTGTAATACGTCGATTCAACACTGAGATATAAATAATTCTTATTGCGCACAATCAATTTTGATAGTTACAGGGTTCGTATTAGAAAAAAACAAAAAGTAGTAGTAGTAGTAGAAGTAGAATTTTGAACTCCGTTATGATAGGATTTATATCAGAAACTAGGATAAATGTAATCGATTAATACGTGAAGAAGTTTTGAAAACTGGGATTTTAATATTTTAAATGTTATATAGTGTAAAGGAATATTGGAACTGAATATATAGAAGAGAATTAAATTCTGTATCTTTTGATACTAAAAAGATGCATTCACAATAGATTACATATCAATAATTTTTCCGTTTCGAAAAAAGTAAAACAACATAGAGAGCTCAAAATATCCCAAAAGCAATCACATAAAAGTCATTACATCATAAAGTTACTAATAAAATGAAAATTTGTAAAAACCTAGAATAATCAAATATTTTTCCGTAAAATTTTCTAGAAAAAGGAAACAACCTGAAAAAAGTAGGAAATGTAAAATAAAATTCCGAAAGTAGGGCAAAGTAGGACGCTTTTAGTAAAAAGTACTACGAAGCCGGCATGGTTATTTTCAATAATTAAACTTGATCTGGCAGACTAGTTTGATAATAGTAACAAAATTTTGTAAGAAAAATACTTGACTTAATGAACTAGAAAGTAATAAACTGTTGCAAAACATAGCATAGTTTAAAAAAGAACCTGGAGCCAGTTTCATAAAAAAACTTAAGTCTGACTTAAGTCAGAAAAGACAAAGAACTTTTTGGACTTACGTTCATTTTTATAAAACTGACTTCTGATTGTTGCTCACTGTTAAGCAGCGTTTCTATTCGCTTTCTGAGAAACAGCGAAACTGCGTCATCTATTCGGAAGCCTCAATATAAAAATACGATTTTGATGTCTTTTTAATGAAGGTGACTATTTTTCTCTTGACTATTTTCACTTTTTCCTTCTATAATCGATTTTCGAGAAATAAAGGTTGGATTATCAAACTTGATTCGCTTGCTTTTGGTCCAATATGCACATCCTTCGCACATTGACACAGAAAAAGAGCAGAGAAAGAGAGAGAAGAGAGAGACCAATAAAATATAGCTCTCGAACAATATAGCTTACTATAAATGAAGGGTAAAGAAGAAAGGTTTCAAAAACTGAGTTTGTTGCCTCTGAACGTTTACGTATACTTTAGAGTGGTCTAGTTTCTTTGTTTACCATGTCTGTTACTACTGTTTTTACAACCTCTGTTGTGAATAGAGAAACTTTTTTCGCAATGTTGAGTGCTAAATAGCTTTTATATTGCTAACAGCGTTCTCATGATTTCGTTGCCACGCTGAGCATGAAAACAGTGTACGTAGGTGGCTGGCTAAAAAAGAATGTTGTGCCTGATTTTTATCGCGCTTGTGGTTGAGCCTATTAAAAAATCAATCAACGCCTAATTGTCTGTAGTCGAATCCTATGTTAAACGAGTGAGAAAAGGATATGGAGAACAATCAAGATAAGCTGAAAGTAGTGAGGAGCTGTTCTAATCTTCCCATTTTACTTGCGATCGATTTATGTTTCTTGGATTCAGATCTGTTTCAACAAGTGTGGAGAAAATTAAACTCTCTCATTCGCACTTTTTCTCTTGTTATTTTTTTCCAGAGCCAAATTATTTCCTTTGTCACCTCAGACCTCCCAACGATTGATAAACGTGACTTCGCTTCTTGTCTTGTTGAAGTCTGTTTTTGCAGTTTTATCATCCACACTAATCGTTCTTACATTATCATCATTCACGTTCGTATACTATCCGTTGTAAACGTTTTTTCATTATTACTGGTGCTTCCTTCGTTTTTTTACTCATCTATCATCTTCCAGAATCTATTCTCAGTTTTCTCCATCTTCATTCAAATCAATATTAACCATAAATCTTTTACAGTAATGTTTCAGTCATGTTCTTAGTCAATTCTATCTTATATTAGTTTCAATTTTCTTTTTCATTGATTTTGTTTGTGTTTCTTCTCTTTTATTTACTCTATATCTGTTGATCTGTTTGTCTAGCTTTATTACTGCTCATCACTTCTGTTTTCTTTTGTTTGTCTTGAATCATTGATACTATAGATCGGAGTCTTTGATGAATGTCATTTTTTGCTGAATAAATATGATCAACTACATACAACATAGCTAGTCGAGCAAGGAGAGTTGAGGTCGAATCAACAAAGATATCAATAAGGTTCGAAGCCAGAAATTTTGCATTTTGAACTTAGGACTTAACTAGGAGTTATTTATAGCGTTTGTCCCAAAGTCCTTTACTGTTCAGAATATAGGCAAGCCTTCTACAGCATAGAGTATGAAAATTTTTTACAATTCATTGCACGTAATTCATTTTAAAGTATAAGATGAGTGAATTAAGTTGTTATGTTCTGTATTGCCAAAAAAGACCTACAACAGTTAAGGTTAGGAGCAATTTGACGAAATACATTCGAAAGAATTGGAAACAAACCATGTAACATTGATGTTCGCTTGTATTATACCGATCATTTATGAAGAATTGCTTGCGTTAAAATCAGAATCCGGCTATTATCAATAGAAGTATCAAGCGTGAAATGACGGGACCAAAAATGTCACTATGAAGTTCCTTCTGCATCTTGATCTTGTTCTGCAATATGACTTGTCGGAAAAAGTGAGCTTAAGTAGCGTGATTGGCAATTTTATATATTCTGCTCTCACTTTTCTTTTGAACTTTTTAATGAATGTTCAACAGAGCAAAAAGAAGAGTGTTTGCTTTTTGCTTATTAGCTTTTTTTTGTTTTGATATTATATAATATGACAGAATAGTTCGATTGTTTTACAATCATTGTAAATAAACGATCGTGATCATCTTTTTCGTTCAACTTACTGCGTCCTTATCTGCTTCGTTCACACTAACAAGTCATCACACCGATACCGAAAGATTATGTTTTATTTTCTTTACTGTAGCCTAAATTTCACTTATATGTCGCTTTAGATTCTAGACACTTTCTTCATTGCCCGATATTCATATCTTTTTTTTAAACTGTATGCTGTAGGCTTCACTGCAGGTACTTACTTATCGCTAAAAAAAGAAACAGGATGCGCGTACTTTAGATCGAACTAAAGTAAAGCAATGACTGTTCGTTTTGCAAT